TTTTACATCCCCTGGGGAAACTTTCACACCTCTGCTGTGACTGGATGACACTGCAATATTACCGTAGTGTGTGCACATATTTGTTCCCATTGAAAAAGACACATTAGACACCTCTCCGGTTACCAATCACTCCCATCTGTGAAGACATGCGAGTGCACTACAGGCAGTAAAAGGCAACAATGTCAACACTTGTCAAGTTCAATGCTTTTTGGATGATGAATACTGATTTTGTCCCTGCCCGACAGAGGTAAAAACATGCAATTCTTTCCACGTGAAAACCTGTGTTGCAGAATACCAAAAAGGCCATGCTCCTAAGGCTGGAAACAGAAGGCATACTACAAATGTGTGGAGGTTGTCTTGCTCATATGGTCCCTAGCAACTTCTTGATCCAGGGATGTGATCCAGCTTTTCCTGCAAGGATCCCATGAAATCAGGTTGAAAAACAGTTTCATTCAAGCCTCCACCACCACATGAGCAAAGAAGCAGTAATTTCAGTCCTAAATGTGCATTACCTTAAAATGCCATTAAAAGGGCAGCAGGCCAACATGTTTTGTATAAAAGTCTTACCTCCAATGCACCTTAAAAAAACACCTTAAAAACCACTGAAAAAAACTGGATCCCATACTAATAGCCTAGACACCCCTCAATGCCAGTGTGAGAAAATGCCAAAACTATATAGTGGCCTTTGTACTCTCCATGATTCAGCAATTGGAACATGTGTGGGACAGTTTCAAATGCATCAGTCTTGTCTCCCCCACTGTCCTCCTTAAAAAAATAACACTGGCACTAAAAGAAAAAAATATATAATAAATGTTTTTACTCAGAGTAAAAACAGAGTTTAAGGAAATTAGCTGAAAGTATTTTCAGCTTAAAAGGTGTCTATCTACACTTTCTTATTCACTTTCTCCCTGTTTGAGGAGCTCCAAAACCGAGACCAGACACAAGAAAGCACATAGCTAATCTAAATCGGGTCGGTATTGTAACATAACTGAAAAAAGAATTAACATTTCATGAAGCGTATTGAAAGCTTGAACTGCACTGGAACATTTACATCCCCTTCTTTTGGAAAAAAGTTGGGTTTTGTCAAGCCAGCTGTCCCTTTAAGAAAAACACGCTTTGTGATTAAAAATAAAACATAATGTTATGTTTTGCTACACAACAGGGATCGCAAACCAATCTCCCACACAGCGTGGCACGTTACTGTCTTGCATAGTCCAAACCCCCAAAACACAACAAATTCTAAAAAGGAAATGCAAAGGCCTTTCTTTGGTACATCACTACTGGTCATATCCTCAAAGAAAAGGGCATTAAAGGGCATCGGAGCATGAAGGGCTTTGGAAGAGGCCCACATTCAGACAAAATTATACACTTCAGTTTAGACATATTGTGGGACATCAAACCGCCTCATCTGCTGTGAATTTTCACATTACAGGAGTATGTAATCATCCTGGAGCTAGTGAAAGGAATGCCATTGTGTATTCTGGACTCTCGTCCACCCTAACACACACACACACACACACACATACAACTCCATTACAAACCTAAAACTGCAAAAGGACACTTAACTAGGTCAGAGTCCCCCAAAATAAAACTAGTCATAACACTATTCCAAATAATGATGGAGCAAAAATCTATTAAATGCATATTTTATTGATCAGTGGTGATACTATTGCTAATAATGTTGGAGCAAAGTTCTATTAAATGCCTATCTTATTGAGCAGTGTGGAGCAGTGGTTAGGCTCTGGAATCACAGCTAAAAAGACACAGGATCAAATCCCAGGTGGAACACCACCATTTATTACCCTTCAGCAAGGTAATTCATTCAGATTGCCTATAGCAGTATAAATGTACAGTAAGTAACTCTGGATAAAAGCATCAGCTAAATAAATCAGTAATAAAAGCCACAGACCAATACAATTAATTTAATTTATAAAGCCAACCGATGTTTATACAGTATTTTCTTTTAAATTGTCAAGGTTTAATGAACTATTTCTGAAAACATATTATATCACTTCATAAAGACTAAAAACAATCTTTTTTTAAAATCACATTGTTGTCAAAATTGTAATTACTTTTCAAGTAATGACATATTTGATGTGGGTTTCAGAATTTTTATTCTGAAATAGCAGATGCACGTCTAACCTAACTGTTTTAATTTTAAAAGTTGCCAACTGGAAATATCCATTCCAACGATTTTTTAAATGAAAAATTCCTGAAACAAATTAAGAAAGACCTTAAGTTTTTATGAATGGCAGTAACTGTGATAACAATAAAACAAAGACGCAAAAGCACAAATAGAAAAGGTGGAGGTGGATTTAAGGCTTAAGAATGGAGACAAAGTTTTACACTTAAAAACTGGAACAAACCGGCATGCACAATCCCTCATCAAACAGCTGGTTCTCAGCCTCAAAAGCTACCAGCAACCAGACACACATATTGGGAGGAATGAGCCCTTCCCATTTGATAAAACGTGAGTCACATGGTTCGTGCTAAAGCAGACACCTGCAAGGGAGAGGATGCCTTTCAGCCAATAGTGACTGTAAAAACCAATAAGAAAAACTATCCATTTTAAAGGATTTCAGCAAAGTGGCTTTCACACATAGCTTAGCAGATATTTGGGAGACACTAAAATGCTTTATCTAGGAAAGCCTGAACAGCATTGCACTGAGCACTGCACATACTGCTTTTCTGGCTGTGTGCGCACAGCGGATCACAGATTCCGGAAACTGGAGCCACTGGTACCACCTGACCTCCTGTCCATCTCTGGAAATAAAACCAGCGGCCTGTGAAAATCATGGGAAGTGCATCATGCAGGCAAGGACAGACTCCGTGGGAGAACAACACAGCCATCACTACATTCATCAAATCCTCATTCTTAGGATGCTTGGACAGGGAAGTGATTCTAACCAAGGATTCGTTAGTTTCACTTTGTTATCAACTCAGTCCGTTAAGGAGCGTCAGCCCAGCTATGCCCAGGAGATTTTTCAGCTAATGTGTGAAAGAATCATGTTCATATAAGAATGTGTTGTTTCACATGATATCAATATGTAGGTTTAATGTCTTTTCTATCAATAACATATCTAGTTATCCCACAACCTTCATTATCTAATCAAGAAAAAGTGTCTGACTCCAAATTTGTTCTTGAAACAGCCTGGATTCAGAAAGTCGTATCCATAAGAAATAACAATTAAAGTAATAAAGCTGTTGCATATAGCTCTTTTAAATCACTATTTCACTGCCCAATTAAAAACTTTATATTAGGAATGATGTAAAAAAATCACAATACCCTTACTGTTGAATGCAACCCTAACATCTCAAAATACCATTATTTTGATTGTACTAGAAGCATTTTATTACGTGCTGTATAAATACTTCAGCTCTTCATCTAATAATTCATTGAATTACATTAAAAAAAGGGAGACTTTCTCCTCTCAATTTTAAGCAAGTTATCACTCCTAATGTACTCTCAATATAGGCTTCAGTTCAGGAAACACTTGATACATGGTGATAAGATATAGAGCCTTACACAGCCACACACTGACCTTTCTCATACAGATAGCCAAATTAACGCCATCTCCTAGGCTATAAATCTATGAATATTACTGCAAAGGAGCCTCAGTATGCACAGATGTGGTGCTTTTTCAATAATTTAATCAGAATTAGGCACTGAAAGCAATAAAATATTTAATCTAAAGCCAGGGAGGAGGTAAGTATTTTGCCATTTTTCTAAGATAGTTATTTATATATTATTATTTTTCGGTCATGCTCTAAATATGCCCCAGGACGAGTCTGACAGGAATGTTGAAAAATTAACTCCACAGCAGCTATTAACTGACACAGCGGTTCTCAACATTGCATTTTCAAAGCAATTTTCAGAAATGACAAGTGCTTTTTAAAACTTCATTTCTGTCTGTCGACTAATATGAGTTTTATTACATGCTTTCAGAATCACATTCATTAAAAATATTTCCTTCGACCTGCTTTTTTCCCTTTAAAAAGACCTTGTTGGCATGTTATAACTGGTACAAGACATTGCAGAGTATATTATCATAGGATATTGCCATTCGGGCCTTGCAATAACGCTCAAAGTAGAGCAATATTTCATCATAGCACTTAAACTTTTCATCTGTTTCAGCTTAATTGGAAGCAATACCAAACTTCAGACCCATTTAGTGAAGTTCAGAGTCTAGGACTTTAATAAAGCCAACAGCATTTTAACCATGGTTACAGTGGTTTTTAACTGATAGGTTTTGACAGCGGAAAACAAATGCAATACTTTAATTCACATTATTATTCATTTATTTGTTCACTTTCTGAATACATTACATTTAAAGTGCATCCCCTTCACATGACTTCCTTTTTATATTACTGAGTGAGGATAAAGGGTAAGAGATGAAAGCACGTTGCAGTCCTGGTTGCCCTGACAACATCTTACAGTAATGGGCAGAACGTAAAAGAGCCTAAGTACAAAAGAAGACTAAATAATACGTACCTACTGTAAAGTAAAAACACTCTACTAAAAAACTGTGGAATTGGGGGTATCCAAAACAGACTGGTTTCAAGAATCACAAAGCTAGAGTTGCTTCATCTGAGCATGTCTTGTATAAGCAAATCAGAAACCGAGACCTTTATTAGAAATATTGAGACATGTAATTAAAAGGGCATCCTGTAATTGCTGCATAAGAGCATTCACTATGCAAATAATTATACTGTTTGGTCTACAGTCTTTTTGAGCCCTTGATAAAAACTATAGGATGATCATCTGCATTCAGCCCTGCACAATGCACAAGGCTGAGTTTATACAGATGTACTCCGTGTGAATGTCACAGCTGTGACAGCTGTCCCATTTTAACATGGCAATACAAGAAGAAATGCGGAAAATTAAGATGAAATTGATAATGTTGCATACTTGAAACAATCCCTAAGGAATAATCCCCTTTCCCTGGAAAAAAAAAAAAGTTTTTGGATGGCCACTTTTGAAAAATAAATTCAAAAAATACCTGTAACTGGATTCCTCAACAAAACGTGTCCAGATCTTCACTCTTATCTCATTAATTCAAAGCTGAGAGGAGAAACAGTAGCAAACACCAGCTGGTGTACAATGTCCCTGAGAACAAACAAAGGTATTTCCGGTTAAACACTGATGCAGAATGAGTTGGCTAAACATTTATGCAGAATTAGCTTCTATTTTTAAAACAGGAAGTCAGAAACAAGACAGGGATCAAAATGTCAACTTTAAAAATAACAGTTTAAGAAGATATAGAGGAATACACAGATCTCCTCTGAACTGCATGATCCACGGGCGCTATGATCCACAGTTGGGTCTGATGGTTTTTCCATCAACATTTTTGCGTCAAGAACTGTCTCCTATTCACAATTACAAACCTGATCCTTTCACAACCAACATTGTCTTTGTTCCAAAACTAGAAAAATAACTTTTTTAGTTTAATCTTGTCTGTACGTGGCTTGCATTTCTATCCTGGAACTGTTGCAGATTGCTTATATGTGAACAATAGCCTTTTTTCAGAGTACTTAAGCTTCGTCTTCTATGTAAGGTTTTATAACAGAATTACGCTGATTGTGCTTTACTTTTAAAAGATCAAATAAATATACTGTATGAGCCCATAACAAAGCCTAACAATCACTATTTGATATAAAGTAGTATTTGATGTTTGCATCAATACTATTCCAAGTCCTTCACTATCCACTTGATTTTCATAAGTCATATACTTGTTGATTGGGCTTACATTCATTTCCATTACATAATGATTTTGACCAGCTCTGGATAAGGTCAAAATCATTTTGTTTGACTTTTCCTACTGTCAGGTGTTGCTTACCTTCATAATTTGTCATCAATAAGAACTTACTTCATTTACATAACAGACTTAGGTAACTTACCTTATAAATACTCCCTCCTTTCCTTATATTGACTTATCCACATGCACTGGCGACTTTGGTTTTCTGGTAATCTGCAATTAAGAGTTAGCATTTAATTAGTTACAGTACGTTAACTGAAGTAAGTCATATATGACTAAAGGTAGTCATATAGTGTGCTTAAAGAAGTCTATTTAAATTCTTTAAAAAGAATTGAAGAAAATAAATAAAGTGAAGATATTTTAAAATAAACTTCTAAAACATTAAGAAGAGAGCCATTATAGCACAATATGCCTATAAAGATATATTGGATAAGGTGCTTTCTCAACTTATACAATTTCCATGGAACCTGTTGTATTTGAAAATTGACTTTTGATAACAGCCAAGGAAATTTAATAGCATTTAGAGTGGAACAGAGGAGTGAACTGAATGAATTGGAAAACAGGTTAGTTAGCCCTTTTAGGAAACAGAGCGTGAGCTGAGACCAAAACATGGCAGGACAAAAAAAAAAGTAGGTGAAAATGCAGGCACCTGGGCTCTCACACCATCAGAGCACACTTTTCAGCATTTGCTGGTAGTCAGCTAGATGTAAAGTAGGTAGGAACAAGACAGATGTGCAAATATGATAAGTTCTTCCTGAACCTGCTTAAGGTAGGACAAAGGGTAAAAAAGATGACCAGGATAATACAAATAGGAATGCTACGAGCAAAACAAAAGGAAGAGAACAAAAACCCCAAAGCTGCCATGAAAAAATAAGTGGTGAGAAACACATATGTGCAGATACACTGCAAATAAATTAAATCTGATATAGGTACGTATACTGTATAGCATGTTGCAAATAATAATTTGAGCTACAGCTGTTTAAGGTGCTGGAAGACCTTAAAGCACCAGCTTGTAGGAATAAACTGCCTTCATTACTGTTTGTGTTACAACACTATGGAGAAATAATTAAAAGGCAAATGGACTGTTCTGGAAGATGTATCTAGAACTCGTATTAATCTTCATTTATGGCCTGCTGGAACTGGATTGTCTCACCAGTGGGGAAAAAAAAGACTGAATTCTCAATCGGGGCTGGAGATGAGGTGGACACTGGCCAAATTTCATCCCCCACAAAAGCACTGAATGAGAATTGTGTACAATTAAAAAAATAATATTGGCCATATTCAAAGTGTGCATTCTACAAAGTTTTCTTTTGTGTGGATGAAAAAAATGGTTTTCTAAGTTTTACCAAGCTATTTTTTTCATTGAGCCCTTGATTAGTTGAAGCCAATTCATTACTCCGTGAATATACAGTACAATATCTCTCACCATACATGAAAAATGTACAAAATCAATTTATACAACAATATATAGAGACCTTGTAAAAATAAATCATTTGACAATCTAATAACATTAGACTATTGCACACCCCTACTCTTTTCGAGAAACGCCCTGGGATTTTTAATGACCACAGAGAGTCAGGACCTCGGTTTTACGTCTCATCCGAAGGACAGCGCCTGTTTTGCAGTATAGTGTCCCCGTCACTACACTGGGGCATTAGGACCCACATGAGCCACAGGGTGAGTGCCCCCTGCTGGCCCGACTAACACCTCTTCCAGCAACAGCCTTAGTTTTTCCCAGGAGGTCTCCCATCCAGGTACTGACCAGGCTCACACCTGCTTAGCTTCAGTTAGAAAGTATGATTTTCAAGTTTTGCTCCTCCCTTTCTGCCACAATCTCTGGATTAAAATTTTAAAACTGTTGGCTTGATTGCATTTCTTAAAACTTAGAAACCTAAATTCCACTTCCTGGATGTGGGAATTTAGAGTTTAGCAGCTACTTACAGAAAAGGTTTATTCAAGTGATATTAATCTTCATATTTCATACAAATCATTTTCCTTTTAATAAATGCTTGATAAAGGATCTACTGTGCCTGTCTGTCCATTCATATATATTTACACCATATACAGCATAGTGTATATGGAGAGTATTCTTTGTCTTTCTCAGTGTCCACAAGAATCAGACGGGTTTATGTAAGGCACCGAGTCCTGAGAAGGGGTTAAAGATGAATCTAGTCCGAAACGCAAGAATAATTGCTCCACAAATCCATTTCTAACTGACCTTTTCCAGTTACTCATTCAAAGTTAATGATGTTAACTGCCTCAGGGAGCTCTAGCTAAGCCAATCAGATGGTAATGAATTATATCCATGTGCAACAAAATCTACGAGATGTAAGCATCGTTGTGAGACTGCAAAACTCTTTTGACAACAACAGGAGGCATGACACTATCAATACTGTCTTCTTACCCCACTAAGCATATTTTCAGGGTTGCAATGCAAATACTAGGATTTCCTAGTTACCCAGTGCAATAAGCTTTGCCTTAGTGCTATTTTATACTAAGGTGGAGCCTGAATTCAACTTGCAACACTTATGGCAACATTTGAGTGGAGTGGCCGGTATTTGATTTGAATATTTGAGGGTTTTTTTACACTGGTGTACACAGAAGTAGCAAAAAATAAGTTCCCTTTTTACTCCCACTGAACTTTAGAAAAATTAAATATTAGTTCAGCAGTCTACAGTCTAGAGCTGTAAACATATGTTAGCAATGGGTATATGTGTAATAGGGAGTTCTAATATAGTGGTTTTTTATGTAGATTAATTCTAGATAATTCTGGTCCTGAACAGAGCTCAAAAACATAACCTATGTCCCACTTCCTAGTTTAGGTAATACACTTTTCTCCAATGCACCCCTCAGTTGTGAAGGTATATTTTCATAGTTTTACAGCAGTAGAGATAAAATGATTTCTAGAAGCATCATGGGAACATTTGTTGAAAAGATTACTGCTGCATGAAGTAATTTTTGCACAACCTGTACTAAATATTCTTCGCAGGGTTTCCCTAAATCACGCAGCTGTTGTGACGGTACAGTACATTAATGAGCCAGATGTAGCTTATATTTAGGAAATTTCAGCTTTTCTTTTTTGTGCATTCAGTGAAAATGAGAAAATGAGAATGTTCATGCACAGCATACACATAATGCAACACAAGAAATAAGTCATATATAAATTTTCTAAGTACCAGCGTTACCATAAACAGAAGCCCTGTTTGCTTGCTACATCTTGCATGTACAGTACAAATGACATTGACCATCACCTCTACCAGGCTTCTCCAATTAAGGCTTCTACAATGAAACTCTTATAATCTACTTCATAAAATGTATAAGCATATGAGCAGATTAGATTACGTAAATAAAAAACAGGAAATTGTACATAATTAGTGCTTTTTTTCTGTATTCGAAAACCTAGCAACTGACCTTTAAGCTTTGAGCTGAATGGTTGACACAGAGATAGATTGTCCTACCAATAGCTTAACAGTATTACTATGACTAATCTAAGCAGGCTAAAGCCCTCAGTGCAATGAACTTGTTTTTTTCTGCTGACAGCGTCAGAGTGGTGGTACGAAGATTTTTCTCATCTCGGGCTCTGCTGCTACTTTACAGTAGAAATCAAGCAATAATGCTTGATTGTTTTTTTAAAAAGAAACATTACTTTTTTCTGCCAATGGACCTTACTAAATATTTGTAATATTTTTAAAAGTGATGTCATATATATGATGCACACATATGCAACTTTTGAGTGAGCACCAAACAGCAAATTCAACCACTACAGAATCTAAGCTTTTAAATAAAAGCTGTAGGCTATTAAATAAGCTAGGGCTCACCATCAACTTAGATTAAGAAAATTCTCTGGCAAGACAGTCAACAACAAATCAGTGAATACTTAAGTGTTTCAATTAAGAAACGAACATACAAGTCAAACTAGGTCTCCTCAGGAAATATACAAAATCTAAAAATGCACTTCAAAATAAGATATGAAATGAGATAGTATAGAATATTTTTCTCATCTGAGGGCTCCAAAAATAACTTGAAGGTGCCTTTTAATCCAATGCAGCAGAAAGATCATGAATTATCCTGATTAACTGCAATTGTCAACACTCTAGGCAGCTGTTACGAAAAGAATTTGGACAGTGCCCGGTATTCACTATCCAACAGATGTCACATTTTTACTGACACAGAACATGTTTTTTTACTGTGGTTTCCACATTCAAAATAAGTAAAAATGTTATGGCTGAAAGCTTAAGTCTTAAAGCTACTGTGGCCCCACACACACCCGTGCACACAGGAATAGTACAAAAAATCAATTACATCTCAGTTTCGTCATTTGTTTACAAATAACATTTTGTTTCAGTGTTTAAACAGAAATCTAAATGATGCCAGCAAAACAAATGAAGCTCACTCCAGAAATCTCTTGAAACACATCTGAAAAAGCACAGAGAACTCAGGTTGTTTACACTGCTGGATGAAGGTGCTTTACATGACATGCTTTCAGGGCCATTTAGAGACAGACGCCTTTGCGTAGCTCAATCAGAACTGTGCTTCCAGCCACACTGGCATCCGACTGGCTGAATCAGCAAGGACTGAAATCTACGATCCAGACACCACTAGTCTGAGCCTGGGTAATTTCACTAGCTGATTGTGACTGGGGTCTTCAAGCAGTGGTATGGTGACATACCTTGCCACTGGGTAAAATAGGATAAGCCAGCCTGGGTTCTCATACCTTTCTGTCAGAGAGTGACTCCTGCTACTTCTGAGACTCCTGCAGGCATGCTAGATCATCAGCAAGAGAAATGATGTGCCTCCAATCAACACTAACTCTCATTTGTATTGCTAGAGAGGCTACCTTTAAAACACGTGGCAATTCCAAACTGGATGTGAATAGAATTTTAAAAATAACAGGTGACTGCAAAGTTATAAAAGAGAAAAAAACGCGGAAATGAAACTCGGGTGCAAAATGGGATATAGGAGCTAATTCTGTGATGCATTTGTGCAGATCACAGTTATAAGTCACAAGTATCAAAAGCAACAAAAATTGTGTTCCAGTACATCTCAAATCCATTTTCAATTAAGATTTCAATTAAAAGTGGTAAGTTTCAGACAGATACCTGCTAACACGCCATAATCAAATCTGCATTTGCGTTATATTTGCAAATTACCAGTAAAAGTGAAAAAATTCCCCTGCGAAAAGACAAGGGCAAGATGAGGGTCAGGAAAATCAA